CAGGGAAAAACATCCCAGCACCCCTGATCAGTGCAATACAGTTTCTACAAAAGCTGCAGAAATTAAGAACAGCAGACCAAAAGTCAGAAGAATTTAAGACCACTAGCGGTGTTAGACAAGGTGATTTTTCTCTCACCTTATCTCTTCATTATTATGATGGATAATGTCATCAAGACCTGTAAGGAGAAGACAAAGAAGTATTCAGTAGGGTACATGAAGATGAGACCAATCTGTACATTAGAGCTGGCATTTGCAGACGATGTGGCCATGATAGTTAAATTAGAGGCACACCTTCAGTCCAACTTACTTGTCTGGAAGGAAGAGCTTAAGAAGAAAGGGATGGCCATCAGTATCTCCAAAACTAAAACCATGGTGATCTCAAGAGAGAAGAAACACCCGTTTATGATGAGACAGTATGCATTGGAGCAGGGTCAGCTAGTTCAAATACCTTGAAGTTAACATAAACCGAAATGGAGGCATTAAGACTGAGCTGGTTACATGAAAAGCAGCTACTGGGAGACTCTTCCAGGCCATAAACCGAGGGTTTCTTAGCATTAAAAAAAAAAAAACTGAGACGGTTTTGATCTGGTTTATTGTTACTCCCCAAGAGTCTTTCCATTTCTAAACTGTATTTGTAGCTTTCTGCATTTGTTGTTTAGTTGTTCCTGTATGTTTAGCTTCGGTCCATAAGGCCAGGTCATCTACATAAAGGGTCTTGTGAATGTGAGTCGTGAACCGTTTTGGGAGGTCATTGATGAAAAGGATAAACATGGTAGGAGATATAACACCTCCCTGTAAGACACTTTCTTGTAACCTGACCAGTTTGCTTTTGGGTTCTTCCACTGACTCTCACACATCGTCTGCAAAGAAAGTCTCTAATCTACACCTTTCAGTCAGGGGGTCACACTCCACCGAAGGTTTCTGTCTGGCTTACCCCAGCCATAGCCTGGTATTTTATCCCTCCAGGCATTGGAGTTATTTTGTTAGCGATGGAGATTTGCTATGCGCCAGAGCCGCGTCTGTTACAACAGGTAGCACCATGCAGGTACGGTTGACTTGATTGGCAGATGCTATTTGTTCCGCTCAGGCATTTCCCACATTTTAGGTGGGACCTAAACCAATCCTTGTTACCTGCTGCCAGTCCAACAATGATTAAAGATATGTAGCAGCTTTGTTTTGGCTGTTGTCCCAATGTTCTTCATAATTTCGTTGGTAATTCTATCAATTCCAGACGACTTTCCCATTTTCAGCCTTGAAATTGCTCGCTAGACGTAAGTGCTGCCACCAGTGCCTCAGGAATTATATTGTTTTATACTGGGAAGGGGTGGGTTGCGTGGTCTCGACGCATGGTGTTCGCCTCGATTGCTAGAGGTTCCGAGTTCAAACCTCAGTAAGGGCTGGGATTTTCTCTCGTGGACCTGGACTTTCAGTAATTCCACCCCCCCCCCGTCTCTGGGAAGTGAGATCGGAGGCCTGTGTACATTGTTGCGCTCGTAAAAAATCCCTTGTCAGTTGGAAATCGAAAAAAAAGTAGCTAACGGCGCTGCCCGGGCAAAATGTTAACAATCTACCCAAAGTATTTAGCCCGGCTCTCTAGCGTAGTTGGCTAAACCGGATTGCGCGGTGAGCGGGTGACGAACTCCTTGTGGTCCGGGTTCACTCCCGGAGGTAGGTAGAAAAGCCACATGTCTCCCAGATTTACGGTATTTACAATGGAATCAAGGCCGAAAGGTTGCGATATCCATAATACCGAGCCTAAGGGTTAACAACTCATGGCTTCCGGATACTAAAACAAAAACAACAACCCAAAGTATTTTAGAATCCCCGACGGTGCTACAGAGCCTATGCACTGTAATGAGCTTCTTTGGACTCAGACTTGAGTTAGAAGAAGAACGGAGCACTTATGTGTTACTACTCGTGTGCCATGATGTTGATCCGTTGTTCAAACCTTCGTCTTGTTGTATTCTTTTAGTCTGAATGTTACATTCCCGCAGGTATCTTACATCTGAATTACAGTACCACAACTATTCAAAGTCGCTCGACGTTACAATTCAGAGACAACTCTTTCAAGATATTTCCTTGCGTTTCAAGTCCTTGTTTCCCCAGTTAACAACCAAATTTCATCGCAGTCACTCCATTCAAGCAACCTGCCTCTCCCACGATCAAACACCAAGTGACTCTATCCTTTCTCGCCTTCCAACCTTTGTTCTTATCCCACGGGTTTCCACTTGCAATCATTCATTCAAACACGGGAATTTGCGAGTGTCCTTTTTCCAGGTTTTCCTCGCTTTCGGCCTTTGCTCCCATCTCGTCATGCTGGGTAACCCTTTGGGATTCCTGGGAATTCACTCTAATTACATTATTGATATCTCCACACATGATCATTCTTTCGCATACTGTCTGCAAAGTTTGTCTCTTCATGTTCGGCACCACTTGATTATTAATTGATGCACGACAAGGCAGATGTGGTCAACGCCCACTGGAAGCACGCGAACACCTGGAAGAATGAGCAGATTATCACTGTCTGCAAAGAATAATGCAAAGGCGATTGACCCGCGTACCTTACCAACATTCGACACGCGAAAGAAAACAAGACAGACATAAAATCAGAGTAACTGAAATCCTTGATGTTGGAAAGTTGTGATGACTGTGTGCGATGAGGACAGAGCCTTTATGGAAATACCACAGATACATATATAAAGGATTAATATTTATAGACAATATCCGAGGTAAAAATATTTAAAATACGCAAATTTACGCCATTCAGTCTCTTTGCTACTTATAATATCCACGTGGTCCACATACAAAGTTATAACCTGAATGCGGATCCCTACTGGAAGTTAGCTGGACCAACTACGAGGATATGGTAAACGAAAAGGTAATGTATTAAAGATGTTTTGAAAACAACTAGTCCACGAGAAGTACTTCTTCTTCTTCGCGTTCACCAGCTGCACATTCTGGCGGAAAGTTCTGGTTGCTTGTCCACTACTGAACTACAGTCCTGCTCCAGAACCTGAGTGTTGCGTGTGCATCAGTTTTACAGATCTCTTGCTCTTCAACACAGACTGTTGGTTCCTTGCCTCTCCGGCAGATGAACTCCGACTTCAAAGGAAGCTCCCCAATTAGTCGACTCCTACGACATACTTTTGGGGAGGCAGTGGGTCTATTCTTGTTTTCCCCACAATGGGGCCCCGGAACCCACACGGGGGATGAGAAGTACTGATTATCCACATCAGAAAAAGACCAAATTCGTTGGTCACATTGTGTGAAGCCGAGAACCGAGGGGAAGAGAGGCAGAGGAAGACTAAGTGAGACGATGGACAGTTTGGCAGGCAGGAACATTCGTTTCATAAACGACTGATAGTGCTAGAGACAAAATACTGTGCGGACATGACTACCAACGACTCTCAACATGGACTATGAGAGAGAGGAAGCCGATATTTTTGCCAGATTATTAGTACCACACAATCTCCGCCATATCCACCAACCACCACCCTTTTATTTCCGTTATACATCATAAAGGGTTAGTGGTCAATTCTTAGAATTGGTTCGATCCTGTGCAATTGTTTCAATATCATTGATGGAATCCATTCCAGCATCTTTGGCCTCTCTCATCAATGCTCGTCTTAGGTTCTTCTTCTTCGCGCTCACCAGCTGGAAACTCTGGACTGCAGTTCTTTTCCAGAACACAGTGTTGCGTGCGCATCCGTTTTACTGGCTTATTTGTGCAGTCTGTTGGTTTCTTTTTTCCTCAGGCAGATGCACTCTCCTATAATAGGGCTCTTGAACCCACATAGAAAGTTCGTCTCAGTTTTTTTATGGGAGTGGGGTGGGGGGGGGGGAGGGGCTTCCTCATTTCCTGAAATCCACGTGTTTCTGAATTAGGTACCTGCTTCGCGATTGTCTGAGTTATGAGTTAGATTATCTTCACAGCACTCCGGACACATCCATAGGCGCTCAGATTCCCCTCTCAACATATTCATCAGCGTCGTGCGGTTAATAGTACCAGTTCTATGTTGGTTAACAAGACTTCGTGTGCGTCCAGTGTGCTTCTCATGCTTGGCTGTGCCGATCTTTACTCCCAAAATTGCGTATTCTTAGAAGTTCCGAAATCCTCAGAACGTCCTATCTCTCTAAGGGGGCAATAACAATGCCTGCATGATCCATGGGCCGGCCATCTTCAATTAATGCAGTGCCTGCCAGTCTATCAGCTCTCTTATTACCAACAACGCCTGCATATGTTTGGCTATTATCTGCTTGCTTCATCTCAGGAAGTGTCCACTATATAGCTTTTTACTTTTGTCTTTTAACTATTCTTCTTCTTCTTCTTCTTCTTCTTCGCGTTCATCAGCTGCAAACTTCGGCGAAAAGTTCTGGTTGTTCGTCCACTTCTGGACTGTAGTCCTGTTCCAGAATCTGAGTGTTGCATGTGCATCCGTTTTGCAAATATGACTTTTTTGTAAGCACACTGTTGGTTCCTTGTCTCTCGGGCAGATGCACATCTACTTCGAATGAAGCACCCAATTAGCCGACTCTTACGACATGCGTTTGGGGAGGCAGTGGATCTATTCTTGTTTCCCTAAAATAGGACCCCAGAATGCACACGGCGATCTTAATAGCTATTGATACCTGCGGTTGCCATGACGTTTATTCATTTCTTCGTCTATCTTGGATTCAACTTCATTAGTTAGAGACATCGCAAATCGGTAACAGTCTTAATAGCCATACTACAACTACGCATATAACACGTAAGTCCATATAATAATAAAAAAAAAAAATCGCATGTTTACAAAGACATTTTACAAAACACTGCACCTGCTGAAACATAAGTTTCTTAAGTCATAGAAAACCGCTAATTAAAAAATATTATAATTTTATTGTTTGATATTTGCGAAACATTATTTTCAGACTGCCCTGTGAAGCCAGCGGTGAAGCGGAGGTTGCTGCTGAATTGATTGTGTCCACTTTGTTATGTCGCTGATTCTTACACAGCTAACTAGATGAAAATGCCAACTACCACAAACATTAAAGTGGAGGCTAAACCCTCCACAGAATTAGGAGACGCAGCTAGGCAATGTTTAAACTGTCTAGAAAAGAAAGTCAGGAACTTGGAGAAAAGAAAGGTAAGCGATTTCTTATGGTCACGTGCGTTTTTTTTTGTTTGAACAAGAGGGCAATCGAAAAAGGGTCGTGTCGCCGCTTAACTCGCTGACGGGTCATCGTGGGCACTTCACGTTCATTCATGAAATACTAATAAAGTTAGCAGTTTTCGGGTATGCCATTAAGACATGATGTTAGGCTTTGGTTTTTGATGACCAAACAATGTGATCCGGCGTAGTGTGGTCACAGACTTTTAACTTCCGCATCTTTACTTCACCTCACATGTGGCGCATTACAAATGCCAACCAAAGGGGGGAATTTGGCATGCAGGAATGAGAAGGGAACTTTATTTATAAATTTCATTCCTGATTTATAAATTATGCTTTTTGTTATCATATGAGAAGCGTAATTTACAAAACATGAAAATGTCAAATGTGAATAAAGTTTCTGCTACAAATACCAAAATTCGAAAATGAAAGTAATGAACGAAGAAAGAAATTATAACCAACACAGAGTCAGACTGACTTGCATTCCATTCCATATTTGATTTATAACAAGAAAGTTAGATTAGTACTGGTGAACTGAAATCAGAGATAGGCAACTAAGCAGTAACAGTAATAATTAGAAAACAAGAAAATGTCCCAGTCAACAGAGTAACTGCAGTGATGTATTTAATTTACTGTAATATAGTATATAATTAAATATACGAAGTGGAAATTAAAAGTGTATGACTGAGAATATAAATTATATAATACACGGAGCAAGGGGAAGACCATGCAAGGTATGGAGCGACATCATCAGGAGCAACCTAACAAATGAACACCAACTTGGACAATGCATTGGAAACGAAAAGCGCACAAACGATCCTTATAAATCCCCCTAACACCTCGCTGAGGTAAATGGTGGAGAAGAAAAAGAAGATAAGAGGGAAGTTACAAGAGGGTCTTTGGAAACTTCTTTGTAAATACTAAATATATATATCATATGAAACATGCCATTGTTTGTGCTACACATTGATACCACAAGATCTGTTTGTCCTGGAAGTTCCTGTTAGGCTGCAATATCTGCCTTTTGCCTTTGGCAGAACAGATATTTGAACACATTTTTAATTATACAATATCATCATGTGCCCTGCCAACTGGCATAGGCACCCATGCATCTCCACAGATCACGATCCCTGGTTGCCTGGAACTGCTCTCTTGATGATATCCCTCCATGCTATAGTTTCAGCCATCCAGCATCATCTCTTTTGGTCTGCCTCTACCCCTCTTTCTACTGATCTTACAGTATTCTTATCCATTTATTGATTATTTGGTGGGGGGGGGGGACAAAAGAATAGACCCACTGTCCCCTTAACAAGCATTTCTACAAGGCGACTAATTAGGGATGCTTCCTTTAAAGTCAAGAGTGCATCTGCTTGAGAGGCAAGGATCCAGGTCTGAATACAAAAAAGCCAAATCTGTGAAACATGTGCACAGAAAACTCAGATTCTGAAACAGGACCAAAGTCCAGAATTGGACAAAGAACCAGAACTTTCAGCCATATATTACAGCCAGTGAATGCTTAGAAGAAGACAACATGCTTATTTAGTAGCAACAGGTCTATTCTGTCCCCTCTAAAATTAGATCCCGGAACCCATACAAGGAACCACATAACAAGATGATAAATGGAAGAATAAATTTGCCCTCTCTCCTTTGTCCTCTCCTCTCTCCATCTCTGTGTGTGTGTGTATATATATATATATACATACAGAAGTGGACAAACAACCAGAACTTTCAGCCATATATTACAGCCAGTGAATGCTGAGAAGAAGAAGAAGACATATATGTAATATATATATATATATATATATATATATATATATATATATATATATATATATATATATATATATATATGTAATATATACATATGTAATATATACCAGATTATCCAATTTGAGCAGACCCTCGGTTAGTTGTCTTTTATAATATGCTTGATAGAAATTAAAAGGGTATTGGTCTGTTTATTCTCCCCCCACCCCCACAAATTAGAGCCCCGGACACAACAATAAGATAAACCTTCTCCTCGGTTTATAATCATCTGCAACAACCACAAAAAAATAGTTTTAAAAAATTTAAATGATTACATTGGTAGAGAAGTCACTGTGGCGTGGGCAGCTAGTCGTCCGCCTGCTGATCAGGTCGTGGGTTCGCGTCCTGACGGAGCCGGACTTTTTTTCTTCAAAAATGACCTTGACTCCCAGGCTGACCCAGCCTTGAGTGGGTACCAGGTGGTGTCCTGGGAGGTAAAGGCGGCCAGCGTGATGCTGACCACATCACCCACCAAGTGCCGATTGGTCTATAAAATTATGGGTATAGCCCTATATTCCCAAAAAATAATTGGGGGTTAAAAATAAATAATTTTGGGGAAAAAAATATGAAGTATAATATAAATTGAGATTATAAAAAATACAATTAATGCCTTATGGCATGGAAAATGGACCTTTACATTGGTCAACAAGTTCCCGGAACTGATGCCTGCTTGAAATAGATTATCTATATCTGCAATGTTGTCTCTGGTACAAACTTCATTGTCTTTTGTAATTCATTTAGTTTTCATAAAGTTTGTCTTCCACCATTGTCTCTGTTGGCTTAAAGTTTTGCCTGGAAATACTGTATTTCATTTAGGTGCTATCCTCCGAATAACGGCCATATATTATGACAGCCAAAAACACACCCTGACAGGGCCTCAATCACATGTAAACTGCGGACTTCCTCAGACGAACACATAGCGGCAAAACTAGGATTACTGTCATTGACAATTTCAAGAATCGGAACAATACACATGATAGCGACATGGTGGGGAGACCAAGCGCTCCGGCGCAGATTAGCGATAGTGTTCTTCCGATTGAAATCACCGCTGAGCGTATCTCCTGCTACGCGCGGCGCAGATGGGGGGCTAAACTAGATGGCTGGGACTCACAAGCAGCAGCTACCGCATCTCCTGCAACTTCCTCCATTTTATTTGCTTGTGAGTCCCAGCCATCTAGTTTAGCTTCCCATCTGCGCCGGGTGTAGCGGCAGGGGGAATAATGTTGGTGGTGAAAACTGCTTTACCAATGCGGCACTAGCTGCGCCTTGTTCCGATCATGTTTAGCCAAGTTTCAATGGCGCCACAGCCACAAAGAGCAGATTTTAGGGCACTCTTTGCGCCTTCTGTGCAACAATTTTCAGACATTAAGGCCTAAATTATTGCTAAATAGTGGATTTCGTCATTTTCCCCCTTTTTTTCGTTCCTCATTTTTTTCGACTTCAAGTTTTTGAATGTTTTCAACACACAACCTAATGAGGCCCTGTCAGGGTGTGTTTTTGGCCGCATAATATGTGGCCATTATTCGTAGGTTAGCCCATTTAGGACAGTCTTGAAAGATATGATCTGTTGTCTCAGGTGCCAGTCCACATGTGCACATGGCTGATTCGTCAATCTTAAATTTTTTGTTCATGTGGCTGTGAAGTCGATTGTGCCCAGTTCTGAGGCATAGAATAATGACTTGTTCTGTGGCGCGGTGATTTATGTCACAGGCGTGAGGGGAAGTTAAGTCCATCATGATGTGTATAAGGAGATACTCCGTACGTCACTCGGGCGCCAGTCCTTCACTATCCTGGTTGTACAGATCCTCACGCAAGACCCCTACAGCACGTCCTCGTCGTGCGCCACGGATAATGTCTCAAATGAGCATTAACAGAGCTGTCAGGGGATCTCGGAGTTTGGCGGCCCCCAGAGGTGATGTGTCCTTGTGGCTCTCATCAGCCCGCCCCCAAACGCTTGGGTGAAACATTATCAAAACTCATTAGGAACATGAGTAGGGTTGACAAACATACAGCTAAAATTACAACTCTTGGTTAAAAGACTGCTGAGTATAGAGAACATTGCTCACTGCACATCCTCTGTTAATTCTCAGTGTCGTCGTCACCGCGCTGAGGGGCAACACAACAGCAACCATCCATGGGCTGGCCATCCTTGTGCATCCCTGGTTGGCCCTCAGTGTCGTCGTCACCGCGCTGAGGTGCACCACGACAAAACCATCCATAGGCTGGCCACTCACGTACATCCTCGGTTAACCCTCAGTGTCGTCGTCACCGCGCTGGGGTACACCACAACAGCAACCATCCATCAGATGGCTAAGCCTAAATGTCCGACAAAACTAGATCATACGGATCAAAATCTGACCATCAAAATTTGCACTGAACTGAAAGAGACCGAATACACACACCCAAAGACCTCACTTGCCCGAGTGTTGGGAAAAACTGACAACGATATGCCTGATTCAGGATGTGAAATTCTGTCGGGCTAACGTACCTATCTGTGTGGTCACAAAGTCCAAAACCCAAAGGCTGCTCCCCGCAGACTTCCAGAGGGCGCAACCCCTGTCGAGCGGGAGGCCTGATACGGTTGTGAGGTTAAGCAGGCATGTGCAGGACGTGACGATTCCTTGGGTGAGCCCAGAAACAGAGCGATATGTGCCGGCTCTGCATGCATGGAAGCCTCCTTGGATGGCGGGGAATGCCCATGATCTGCCCCTGCCTTCCCTTGAGGGCCAACTGTTCCACAGGGGGCTACCCCAAAGGGGTACTCCGGGGGCAATACCTGCGGCGAAGGCGACAAAATGGACACCACACAAATCAGGCAACGTCTCGACCCACACAAAACAATGGTCACAGTCACCCTAGAAATAGGCCTGACGTCTTCCTTCGAAGTCGGCGTACAGCTGCCCAAGAGGCAGGGAAATGAAAAACGGTTGTACACGCAAAAATCAGGTCCAGGTGAAAGCCAAAAGTCCAAGTGGACGATTAACCGGGACCTTCCACCGGAATTAACAGCCGGTGTTCGATGAAAAGAAAATGACTTGTTCTGGTCTGTCCATAATATTGTAATCGTCTTTTGCCAGTTTTGGTGGCCTTTTGATTGATTTGATTTTCTTCTTCTGTTGATAGGAGCGGTTTTGAGTTGAGGAAATCCTGTATATAGTTTTATGTCAGTTCTAGTCAATAAATAAGCCTGTAATAGCTTTTGTCAGTATCATTTGTGACCATAATATTGTATAGACATATGCTTGTTTCTTTTAGGCAAGGATTGAAATCAATCAAGACAAGGCCAAAAAGGGAACAAAACTAGAGAAGGAACAAGAGGTAAATGTTTCAGTAGTGACTGAGTAGACATCTTAAAGTACGTATAGGTGTACATACAAGTGTTATTAAATTCTTATCGACAAACAAGGATATTTTTATTTTCTCTATGGCATTGTTTTATGTACCAATTAAATAAAGCTTATGGAAACCATGCAATTAAAACACGAATATTAAAATCCAAGGAGCCTTAATGAGCGAATATATTTAATAGAAGTTGAGTTATCAAGGAAACTTGTTGCAGATATATATAATAAGATAAAGGATGATAAACAATATAAATTAACAATATTGATTGCTGTAAAAAAAAACCCAGAGGTCTTTTTTTTTTCTTTTGTTCACCTGAAATAAGTTGTCTATATCAGCAATTTTGTCTCTTGTATAAATTTCACTGTTGTAGTTGATTCATTCAGTGGTCCATAGAGTTTACGTTCCACTGTTCTTTCTGGCCAAAAGGTTTGCCTTAATGTGTCAAATTCGGTGCAGTCCTGAAGTACATGCTCTGCTGTCTGGGGCACCTTTCCACAGGTGCACATGGCTGATACGCCTAACCCAGAGGTTATAACAGTATTATATAATGAAGAAGGCTGGGACAAAATGGGAGCCAAGGCCATTTTTTACAGAAAAAAAAAGTGGCTCTGTCATGCCCTGAACCCACGACCCTCTGATCCGCATGGGGAGCTGCTATAACATGACAGGCTTGTAACACTAAGACTTGAGTCAAGCCCATATTATATGACTTTGGTATTTAATGCGGCGACTCAGAGCCAAGTCTGTTTCAGATGGCTAGGTCAGCATCAAATAATGTGGACTGATTAATGTTTCAGAAAGAAAGTAACCGGTTACAAATGTTGGCTATGTAATAGTGGAAGAGTTTTGTGTATGTATGTATGTATATGTATAAACACTATATTACTGCTCAGATGCATTGAAAGACTAATTCAGTGTAGGGTGATTAGAGGTTCTGAAAGATATTCAACACTGAGGGGGTCTTTAATATCAGATTGCAGCCGACTCTTTGTTAACTGCTGTGGAAGGAGACAGAGCACATGTGGGAGTGTCCCGAGTGCAATCATGTCAGTTCTTGATGAAATCAATCATTTATTCACTGCGCAAAGAAAATATGATTGGATACTCTCAACTACATACCACAACAAGCAATGATGTATAAACCAAGTAGAATCAAGAGACCAACCAGCCACATGTAAATGATGAACAGATAGAATAAGAGTCTATTAGAACCTTCATATATAACACAGGCGCTTTCCTGTTATTGATACTTTACTTTTACACCACAAGATCAAGAGGGAAGAAATAACAATTATGACAGATTACAGCTGTCACTGCATTGTTTTTCAAATGTTTTTTTTCCTTGGTAGGTTGTTTTATTATACACCATGATCTTCTTTTGTCCTATTGCTTTAATCAGTGTTTCCCAACCTTTTTGTGTGCCATGCCCTATCTAAGCCTTTCTAAAAAATTGTATGCCCCCTATGTAACTTAAACTCTCGATGAGTTCATTTTTTAATTGCTCCTCTTAACAATCAAATTGGCCCCCTTCCCCATTTTTTTGTGGTTGGGTGAGGGCCCCATGTTGAGAAAACACTGCTGTTTAAAAGTATAGCTGTAAAGTAAGAGGAGTTATTTTTAGTTTCTTGTCTTTTTGCTAGTTGCTTTGCTNCGGTTCAGTAGTTTCAGAGTCTATAGAGACCAAACACACAAACATTGATTTTTATATATATAGATATATATGTAATATATACATATGTAATATATACCAGATTATCCAATTTGAGCAGACCCTCGGTTAGTTGTCTTTTATAATATGCTTGATAGAAATTAAAAGGGTATTGGTCTGTTTATTCATCCCCCAACCCACAAATTAGAGCCCCGGACACAACAATAAGATAAACCTTCTCCTCGGTTTATAATCATCTGCAACAACCACAAAAAATAGTTTAAAAAAATTTAAATGATTACATTGGTAGAGAAGTCACTGTGGCGTGGGCAGCTAGTCGTCTGCCTGCTGATCAGGTCGTGGGTTCGCGTCCTGACGGAGCCGGACTTTTTTTCTTCAAAAATGACCTTGACTCCCAGGCTGACCCAGCCTTGAGTGGGTACCAGGTGGTGTCCTGGGAGGTAAAGGCGGCCAGCGTAATGCTGACCACATCACCCACCAAGTGCCGATTGGTCTATAAAATTATGGGTATAGCCCTATATTCCCAAAACGCCTAATGGCATGGAAAATGGACCTTTACATTGGTCAACAAGTTCCCGGAACTGATGCCTGCTTGAAATAGATTATCTATATCTGCAATGTTGTCTCTGGTACAAACTTCATTGTCTTTTGTAATTCATTTAGTTTTCATAAAGTTTGTCTTCCACCATTGTCTCTGTTGGCTTAAAGTTTTGCCTGGAAATACTGTATTTCATTTAGGTGCTATCCTCCGAATAACGGCCATATATTATGACAGCCAAAAACACACCCTGACAGGGCCTCAATCACATGTAAACTGCGGACTTCCTCAGACGAACACATAGCGGCAAAACTAGGATTACTGTCATTGACAATTTCAAGAATTGGAACAATACACATGATGATAGCGACATGGTGGGGAGACCAAGCGCTCCGGCGCAGATTAGCGATAGTGTTCTTCCGATTGAAATCACCGCCGAGCGTATCTCCCGCTACGCGCGGCGCAGATAAGGGGGCTAAACTAGATGGCTGGGACTCACAAGCAGCAGCTACCGCATCTCCTGCAACTTTCTCCATTTTATTTGCTTGTGAGTCCCAGCCATCTAGTTTAGCTTCCCATCTGCGCCGGGTGTAGCGGCAGGGGGAATAATGTTGGTGGTGAAAACTGCTTTACCAATGCGGCACTAGCTGCGCCTTGTTCCGATCATGTTTAGCCAAGTTTCAATGGCGCCACAGCCACAAAGAGCAGATTTTAGGGCACTCTTTGCGCCTTCTGTGCAACAATTTTCAGACATTAAGGCCTAAATTATCGCTAAATAGTCGATTTCGTCATTTTCCCCCTTTTTTTCGTTCATTATTTTCGACTTCAAGTTTTTGAATGTTTTCAACACACAACCTAATGAGGCCCTGTCAGGGTGTGTTTTTGGCCGCATAATATGTGGCCATTATTCGTAGGTTAGCCCATTTAGGACAGTCTTGAAGGATATGATCTGTTGTCTCAGGTGCCAATCCACATGTGCACATGGCTGATTCGTCAATCTTAAATTTTTTGTTCATGTGGCTGTGAAGTCGATTGTGCCCAGTTCTGAGGCATAGAATAATGACTTGTTCTGGTCTGTCCATAATATTGTAATCGTCTTTTGCCAGTTTTGGTGGCTTTTTGATTGATTTGATTTTCCTCTTCTGTTGATAGGAGCGGTTTTGAGTCGAGGAAATCCTGTATATAGTTTTATGTCAGTTCTAGTCAATAAATAAGCCTGTAATAGCTTTTGTCAGTATCATTTGTGACCATAATATTGTATAGACATATGCTTGTTTCTTTTAGGCAAGGATTGAAATCAATCAAGACAAGGCCAAAAAGGGAACAAAACTAGAGAAGGAACAAGAGGTAAATGTTTCAGTAGTGACTGAGTAGACATCTTAAAGTACGTATAGGTGTACATACAAGTGTTATTAAATTCTTATCGACAAACAAGGATATTTTTATTTTCTCTATGGCATTGTTTTATGAACCAATTAAATAAAGCTTATGGAAACCATGCAATTAAAACACGAATATTAAAATCCAAGGAGCCTTAATGAGGGAATATATTTAATAGAAGTTGAGTTATCAAGGAAACTTGTTGCAGATATATATATATATATATATATATATATATATATATATATATATATATATATATATATATATATATATATATATATATCTGCAACAAAGAAGAGAATCAAATCAATCAGAAAGCCACCAAAAAACTGGCAAAGGACAATTATTATGGACAGACCAGAACAAGTCGTTATTCTATGCCTTAGAACAGGGCACAATCGACTTCAACAACTCCATGCCATGCAACAAGACTGTCAAGCATCTTCTCTTGTTGTCTTCCTCTATCTCTCCTTCCACATATCTTTCCAGTGGTCACAACATGGAAAATAGAACATGTTGTGACCACTGGAAGGAGAGATAGAGGAAGACAACAAGAGAAGATGCTTGACAGTCTTGTTGCATGGCATGTAGGTGTGTCGGCACACGAACTGATACATGCTGCAGGAGATCGCAGATTATGGAGAGGCATGATCGCCTATGCCAGTCAGCAAGGCACCTGTTGATGATTATATATATATATAAGTTAGTTGCATATCCTTTTCAGGACGTTGCAGAACCAACCTCAGCATTTTTTTTTTTGCTGTTGTGGTTTTTCTTAGCAAATTTACGTCTAGCAGTTTTCCATTGCTTTCCTGACAGTCTGCTTCAGGATACCACTGTTGACACCAACGCAAGGCGCGTATCTGGGGTCGAACCCGGCATTACGGAGCTCGTTCGCAACGCTTTAGCCGCAGACGCCGACTTGTTGCAGATACCAGAAATAAATTGACATTTCCCTAGAATAGCATATTGATAACAGCAGAGATAAAGGATGATAAACAATATAAATTAACAATATTGATTGCTGTAAAAAAAAAAACCCAGAGGTCTTTTTTTTTCTTTTGTTCGCCTGAAATAAGTTGTCTATATCAGCAATTTTGTCTCTTGTATAAATTTCACTGTTGTAGTTGATTCATTCAGTGGTCCATAGAGTTTACGTTCCACTGTTCTTTCTGGCCAAAAGGTTTGCCTTAATGTGTCAAATTCGGTACAGTCCTGAAGTACATGCTCTGCTGTCTGGGGCACCTTTCCACAGGTGCACATGGCTGATACGCCTAACCCAGAGGTTATAACAGTATTATATAATGAAGAAGGCTGGGAAAAAATGGGAGCCAAGGCCATTTTTACAGAAGAAAAAAAAGTGTGGCTGTCATGACCTGAACCCACGACCCTCTGATCCGCATGGGGAGCTGCTATAACATGACAGGCTTGTAACACTAAGACTTGAGTCAAGCCCATATTATATGACTTTGGTATATAATGCGGCGACTCAGAGCCAAGTCTGTTTCAGATGGCTAGGTCAGCATCAAATAATGTGGACTGAATAATGTTTCAGAAAGAAAGTAACCGGTTACAAATGGCTATGTAATGGTGGAAGAGTTTTGTGTATGTATGTATGTATATGTATAAACACTATATTACTGCTCAGATGCATTGAAAGACTAATTCAGTACAGGGTGATTAGAGGTTCTGAAAGATATTCAACACTGAGGGGGACTTTAATATCAGATTGCAGTCGACTCTTTGTTAACTGCTGTGGAAGGAGACAGAGCACATGTGGGAGTGTCCCGAGTGCAATAATGTCAGTTCTTGATGAAATCATTCATTTATTCACTGCGCAAAGAAAATATGATTGGATACTCTCAACTACGTACCACAACGAGCAATGATGTATAAACCAAGTAGAATCAAGAGACCAACCAGCCATGTAAATGATGAACAGATAGAATAAGAGTCTATTAGAACCTCCATATATAACACAGACACTCTCCTGTTATTGATACTTTACTTTTACACCACAAGATCAAGAGGGCAGAAATAACATTAATGACAGATTACAGCTGTCACTGCATTGTTTTTAAAATGGTTTTTTTCCTAGGTAGGTTGTTTTATTATACACCATGATCTTCTTTTGTCCTATTGCTTTAATCAGTGTTTCCCAACCTTTTTGTGTGCCATGCCCTATCTAAGCCTTTCTAAAAAATTGTATGCCCCCTATGTAACTTAAACTCTCGATGAGTTCATTTTTTAATTGCTCCTCTTAACAATCAAATTGGCCCCCTTCCCCATTTTTGTGGTTGGGTGAGGGCCCCATGTTGAGAAACACTGCTGTAAAGTATAGCAGAGAGGAGTTATTTTTAGTTTCTTGTCTTTTGCTAGTTGCTTTGCTTGTGTTGACCTTACATTGTGTTTCTGTATTGTCTCTTGTACTTTGTACTCCCTTCACCCATCTCTTTCTTGGTTGACCTTGTAGCCTGCAGTTCTTGCGTAATACACTGTAGCTGCTGGCTGATTTTGTTTCATTCTGATGAGATGATCAGACCATTTGATTCTTTGATGTTCTATGAAATCATTCACCAGTTCTTAGTTCTTCAGTCTTTTCTTGTCTTTTTTGTCTCACTTCCTTATACATCTCATCTCACATGTTTATATATTGTGTTTATTGTCTAGATAGCGACTACGGTGTTCGGCAATTGGCGGTCTTTTCGGCAATTTCCGTTACCCGGAAACCGTTCGCAATTTGTTTCGGGAAATCTCGGCTGGTTTCCGGATGGGTCCAAATCTCTCATGAAATTTTGCCATCGGTGGGAATTTGGACCAGCTATAAATAGCTGAAAACAGCAGGAGGGAACCCCATTAACAGCGCATGTCAACGACAGCCGGACGTCCTCTGTTTTTCTGTTAGTCATCAGTTTGATTGAAAATAGCGGTAAATTCGAGGTTGGCTTTAGGCTTTAACTGTTACTCGTCCTGGTAATGCTAGTTATAATTGAATTCTCCGTCCAATTTTACATTTGTGTATAAAATTTCTTTCTGAACGGTGGCTAGGTAGATGTACAGTGACATTTTTCAGGCAATCGCTGGCTCAGCCAGTGGCTGAGTCTCATTGCCTGCCATCTTGTCCAATGACAGTCCAGTGTAAACAAAGCCGATACAGAACTGCGCAGTAGGTTGCGCAGAAAAAAAACTTCTTGTTTCTGGGTCACAAGTTTTAGCGGCTGTTTCTTACATCTCATCTCCACAAAAACCTACATATCTCGGCTCAGAAATGACATACAAGCCTAAATGAGGTACCATTGGAAAGAAAGTGTTTACAGCTATCTAACTGTGCTGGTTTTATTGGTGTAGAGGGCATTTTAAAAATTTTACTGAAGTAGCTAGTCTAGAACTGTCCATGTCTGACATTAATAGCACAAAAATGGTACGAATATTGCATTTATAACACCATGATTGCTGTTGTTCATTGAATTATAATGAATTACCATGTAATTAAATTTCTTTTTTGCACAGAATTCCTTGCAGCAATATGAGCAGGTTACACATGACTTGGAGTTTGCAAGAGAACTCCATAAACAGTTTGGGCAGATCATACAAGAGGTAGTTAGATGTTTTCATGTTAGACATTTGCCTTTTCCATCATTTTTTTCTATTTGGTTATTAGTTTCTTTGTTAGTTTTCCCTGTTAAAATTTTTTTCTTTCACTATATAGGCGCAGGAAAAAACCCTGATCCTTTTCCACACCTTCAGGTGTAATGGGCATACAGGGCTAGACCTATATTTTATAGATCAATTGGCACTTCAGCATCATGCCAGCTGCCTTTACTTCCCAGGAACTTTGCTGGTACCCACTCTAAGTTAACCTGGGAGCCAAGATCATTTTTTGGAAAAAAAAAAAAAAAAAAAAGAAAAAAAGTCTGGCTCCTGCAGGACAGAACATGTAAAATCATTTCCGTTATCTTTAAAAATGAAGATGACTGGTTGTTTGTTGTTGTATTCTTGTATTAAAACATGACATCATTAAAAAACAAAATTATTTTATGCACACAGAATTTGCCCACTAAATATGCAGATAAAAATCCCACCGTAAACCCGGGTATAACTATCTATATTTTAAGGTAAGTTAAGTAAATTGTACAGGTAAAAATCCCAGTTGAGGTAAAGTAAAAGTAAAGGACCCTTTTCCACGCCTTTCAGGCATATTGGGTTTATAAGACTAGACCTGTATTTTGTAGATCAAACGGCACTTGGTGGGTGATATGTTCAGCATCACACCGGACGCTTTTACTTCCCAGGACTGTAGAGGAACCCATGATCTTCTGATTCGCAGCTGAGCATTTAGCTAGATTATGGCGCCCCCAATTGAGGTGAATTTGAAAAATGTAATTGGTCTCCCAGCAAAGCCTGCCTAAAAAGTGAGTAAAGGATCCTGTTCACATCTCTTGTGCACGGGGCATCAAGGGCTAGACCTGGCGGTTGTTCTACTGATGTCACCCATTAGTGGTTGATGTAAACTAAACAGGTAAAAGGCTCCTTTTTTTTTATGCCTGTTGGTGTATTAGGTACATGGTGTTAAACTTATATTCTGTAGACCAAGCACGCTCAATGGGTAATGTGATCAGCATCCTGTCAGCCACCTTTACGTTCCAGGACGTTAACTGGTACCAATTTAAGTCGGGGTTGATATGGGAGCCAAGGTCTGGCTCGATGTGGATTTCAACCCATGACCTTCAGGCCTGCGACTTGAGACTACACCTTGAAGGCTCTCCATCAAGTTAGTTATTCCTCTTGAGACTAAGGCGGTGCATAGGGAAGAGGTCATAGCGCTCCATATCTGGAGGTTCATTGCCACCTGTTTTAGGTCTTGGAAGTTTATTAGGTCCATGGTTGAGCCTTCCCTGGTGATGGTTCTATGCAAAGTCTCTCTTGGACTTCCCCATTTTCTTTTCCCTTTCGGTGTCCATATGAGGAGTTGATGGGGGAGTCTTTATCTTATCCATTCTGAATGTATGACCGATATAGTTCCACTGGCACTATCTTATAAAATTTTATACAAAATGTGCTTTGTCACTTGTCTTATTTGCGCATTGGATTTGAAATCTGAGAACTAACTAAGTGCTGATGTTTTTTCTTCTTCATCATTTTGAGCCCTTGAGGTTCACTGCTGCAGATATCACCCGCATTCTTTATCTCTCTGGTTGGTCTTCTCGTTCCAGTTGTTGACACTAAGTGTTTGCAGGTCTGTCTGGACATTATCTCTCCATTCTTGGTCTGCCTCGTGGTCTCTGACCATTCATCTCCGTTGTGCAAACAGTTTTTAATTCTCTGTCATCTGACATTCTTTCAATATGCCCCAACCATTTCAGTCTATTAGCTTTCATGATGCCAGTGATCAGTGGCGATTTGAACAGATTATATGTGCTGATGTTTATTTACAAAACTTGATCAACACTCTGTTCTTATTACCTCTCCTGGCCTGGAAACAGATGCTTTACTTGTAAACCCTGAACTGTGTATAAATATTTCATTAATGTTTCATTTTCAGCATGAGAAGATGATGAAGAAGCAAGCAAAAAGGGAAAAGGCAGAACGGCAAGCACTGGAGATCAAGAGAATTAGTGAAATTCTGCAACTCCAGTCTTTACTCGATTCCATGGGTGGCGATAAAGTCAGGGAGGACTTTAAAACAGGAAAGCATGGGGCTGTGGTATGTTGTTGGCCATTAATTGTCTGCAGAGTTCATTTTGAATAAATTAGACCTTTGTTACCCTTTGGTAGAAGTAGGGTATATGAGATTCAAGTGGATATAGATCAGAGTTTTACATGGAAGATTAGCTTGCATTTTCTATATCGCACTGTGACAATATAGTTAATATCTTTGTTCTCCCCGTGTGGGTTCCTTGGCCCTAGAATGGTGGCAAAACAAAAACCTAGCCTGTTGTTGGGGAACATAGACCCACTACCCTCCTAACAAGCCTGTTTTAAAAGTCGACTAATTCGGGGTGTTTCCTTCAAATTGGAGTTGTTTGCGTACACCAGCCGTAAGCCGAAAGATCTGGTTATTCTTCCACTCCTGGACTTTAACTTTGTTCTAGGAACTGAGTTTTGCATTTGCATCAGTCTTTTAAATCTTGCTTATTTGTGTATGCAGACTGCTGGTTCCTTGCCTTCAGGCAGATGCACTCCGACTGAAGAAAGCCCCCAATTAGTTTACTCTTACAACATGTTTGTTGGGGAGGCGGTGTGTCTATTCTTGTTTTCCCCACAATGCGACCCCAGAACCCACACAGGATCAGATTGGAGTGAATCTGCCCGAGAGGCCAGAGACCAACAGTCATGTGAGCCAGATCTGCAAAACAGATGTGCACGCTAATTGAATAGCCCTGTCATAAAGGCTATGCTACTATAGTGCCTTTCCTACTGTCATTATTTTCAGCAGTGTGTCTTTTTAGGTGTCCAAAATATTGTGTGTCTTTTTAACTGGTCGTGGACAAAATCTCTTAATTCTTCACTTAATGCAGGTTTTGACCGAGGACAATTTGAGCCAGCTGGATGAATTTTATCAGGCAATTTCTCCCTCACGAGATGACAGTGGAGATGATTATCCCCAGCGTCTCACGTTAGCTGCCGAGCATTTGGTCAACATTCTGGAGGGGAAGGATCGCCAGGTAGTTGGCACAACATACAAGGAGATCAAAGAACTTATCACTCTTATTAATGGGTGTGGCTACTTTGAAAGGACCTGCACAGTTCAGACAGAAGAAGGTATGTACTTAAAATTTTGGCTGCTTTTATTTATATTTTTTTGGGTTAATGTTGGTTTTGGGGCCTCTGGGGGAAAACAAAAATAGACTCACTGCCTACCCAAAAGCATGTCGCAAGAGTCGACTAGTTGGGAGATTCCTTTGAAGTTGAAGTGCATCTGCCTGAGAGGCAAGTAACCAACTGCCGGCATACAAATGAGTCAGATCTGTAAAACGAATGTACACTCAAACGCAATACCCAGGTTCTGGAACAAGATGAGTGTCCAGAGGTTGATCAACTACCAGAACTTTCCGCCGGAGTTTACATCTGGTGTAACGTAACACACTGACATCTCATTTTTGTCCCCTTCCAGTTGTTGCCGAGCCCCCACAGGATATTGAACAGTTTGAAGACACAACAGAAGAACCAGCTGATGAAGAAGAAACTACTACTACTGAGGAGCAAGATCTTAATGGTGAACAGCAGCCTATAGACCTGACCATAACAACTAATGATGAAACCCGGACTCAGCAGGACTTGACAACTGATGTAGGTTCTGCTTTATGCTTTAAATTCCTTTTTGTTGTGGTTGTCTAATTGTTTTTTACAGACTACATCTCTCTTTAATAAATCTGACTATACTATCGTTCTTGTTATACGGCACATTTCCGTTGGTAAAGTTTTTACCTAAATGGGTACCAGGTACAGTCCTGGAAAGTAAAAACTAGCTGATGTTGACTGCATCACCCACGGAGTACTAGTTGGTCCTTTAACATGTAGGTCTAGCCCTATATGTCTAGTAAACCTGATAGCGTGAAGAAAGGTTTTTTACTTTTTATATTTTTTACAATGATCATAATACAGTACAGATCACCTAAGGTGATCCCGAATGTGACGAATTTCTGTTGTAAAGAACAGTTTGTTTATCCTAAGCAGTTTTTCTTCTTTGTCTCCGTTTATCATGAACTTTTGTTGGATAAATGGAATGATTAAACCTGTCCCTACTGTAACATTTGATCTGCTTAAGGCAAACTTTTTTTTTTAAATACCAGCATATTTGCAAAACTTTTCTGCTATTTGCAGAAATTTCTCACTTTGTTTTAGAATTTAGAGTATTTTCCCTCTAGCATGGCTGAAAAGTTGAAATCCATATCTTTAAAAAGAAAAATTGACTAGTTCATAGAGTGGAAATCTGTGGCAAAAAGAACATGAAAGTAGCAAAGGAATTCTACATTCCAAAATCAGTGCTTTGAGGAATTTTAATAAAGTGCTGTTATTCTTGAAATATTTGTCAACTTTGTACATTAACACCATTGGTGATTTACCCATCATCTGTGTCATACGTCTATTGTTTTCAACGCTAATTCTTTAATGTATTGTATATTGTAAATGCATTATCATGTGCTTGATCTGGATAAGAGAAATTTCTGCCAAGAAGAACTATTTCTCGGGTTGCTGGTGATTTTTTTTCTTATCAAATCTGCACTGTAAAACCCAGTTTTAATTCATGTTAATGATTATTGCAAATTTTCCATGCATTTATTGTGTCTACCTAGTTGTTTTAGTTTAAGATTAACCAGTCCTCGACATACCAGGTGTTGTTTCTGTGGCAGGAAGTTTAGAACAAAAGACTACTCATGCTTTTTAGACAATGGTACGAGAGTTGCACTGTAGAAGTGATTGGAGCCTCGCCACACAATATTCCCAAAGTAAATCCATTGCAGCTAACTTCCATTGTAGTGACGGCGCCAGATTATAAAATAAAATAATTTGAATATCTGTCACTGAATATATGTGGAGTTTTTGGGCACATAATTAATCTTACAGCTAGAGATTTAAAAAAAAATGACACCGTGGACAAAACGTTGCAGATGAGAGACGCCTTAGTTTGTTTTTGTATGCATCTTTTTTATATTACTCGATAACATTTTACATTAGCATTTGTGCATTTTTTTTCTTATGTCTGTTCAGTCTTTGGTCATATTCTAATTGTTTGCTCATGAATTCCTAATTTGAGGTTGTTCATATTTTTATTATTATAAATATTAATTCATGACTTTGCTTATTTTTATGTTTGTTTATAATTTTGCTTTGTTTTATGTTTGTTCGTAATTTTGCTTTGTTCTTATGTTTTTTAAGATTTTGCTCATAACGTTTGCTCATGATTTTCCTTTATTTTTATGATTTTTGCTTGTTTTGATTATGGCATTTCACTCTTCATTCACAGCCCTTGAGCACCTTGGAACAAGACGCATTCTTTGCCCCCAGCAGCCAACCACATGAGGCTGACAATGAGCCGCAGTATTCCCAGCCACCCCACACAGCAGCACCGCTGATCCCGGATTTTCAGTCTTTCACAAACAACCGACCATTTCAGTTCATCCAAGCCTCATATGTCATGCCAGAGTCAACAGGTGAATTTAATGCTAGTTGCTGTATTCATTTTTTTAAAATCAGTGCTGAGATAGTGCAGCTAAGATAGATGCTCTAACCTATGTCTTATTTCTTGTAGACATGTAGAAATATATGTTCTTAGAATTCATGTCCTGTAGAGTGGAGTTTTTTCGGGTGGGGGGGGGGGGGGGGGGGGTTATGTGATACTGATGTGTTGTCCGTCAAGTACCATTTGGTCAATATAATATGGGCCTAGAACTGACCCCCCAGTATGCCAGTAAGTGATGTTACTTTACCTGCTGGATTAGCCCAGGACTGGAACCAGTGCATTTCTAATTTTGAATTCCTGGATGTATGCTTTCTAAATGGGTGGTGGTTGGCATGTTTTAACAGAAGACAGAATCTTTTATTAAATTGTATTATTTTTTCATTGACTTAATTACTGACCTACACAGTAAGTGACCTTTGTTTCTAGTGACAGCAGCCTTTGCATTGCTTTGCTTAGTCCATTGCTGTCCTAGTCAATCACTCTAGCTTTCATTCTTAACTCTTTCACCCCTGAACACCCCAACAAAAAATTCCAGAAAATAATCCATAAAAAAAATGTGACCTAATGAATTTTTTTATCAAAAAAATTTTTACCCCTGAAATATGAGGTGTGATCCATAAGTCCTTGTCAACCATGCTGTCCTTATGTGGGATGCAATTTGAAGCCTGATAGATATGATAGACATATAAACACGTATACTGATTAGAGAAATTAGATAAAGACAGTATGTATTTTTCAGACAAGCTTGAGCAATGTGCTCAAGACCTTGGAAAAGTTGTTATAAAAAAAAAAAGAGATAAGGGAAGACATATACATACCTGGATGGCTTGGCCATATGGGTCTGAGTAAGACTAGTACACTGACATGATCCATGATTATGGTAATTGTGTTCCCTCGAAGTCGGAGTACATCTGCCCGTGAGGCAGGGAACGGCAAAAGCCAGTAAAACGGTTGCACACGCAAAACTCAGGTCCAGGTAAAAGCCAAAAGTCCAAGCGGGCGATTAACTGGGACCTTCCGCCGTAATTCACAGCCGGTGAACGAGGAAGAAGAGAAGAAGGTAATTACTTGTTATGGCAAAACCTGAAAGTCTATGCTGCTTCTCAGCACAGTACATGATGATTGTGGTGTTGGACCCATATTTCCCATAACTGATTGGTACACGTATGGTAACATGGTCAGCATTGCACTGGCTGGCATTAAGTTTTCCTGAACTTTTGCTGTTCATTTTATGAGAGAGGTCTACCATACATAGCCATATTGGTCAGAAACATTGTTGGTCTCTGGGGATTTAATCTAGGACCATTAAGTTGGTAGTGAAGTATATATATATATATATATATTTATACACACTAACACTACCACAGTTATGTTAAAACATACTTTTTTGTTTGTCTGACAGCACCGGGAATCGTTGACCCCGCAGTGATTGTAGCCCAGCCGGCTGTTAGCTCAGGGCTGCAGTTCAGTTCAGGTTTACAGTTCATGTCTCAGGGATTTGACACAATTCCTCAAGTACCAACACTACATCAGCCTGCCCAGCAAGCACTGCAGCAGCCGGTCAGCACTGCAGGTGTCAGTGATTTGACCCAGCAGCCACAGATCTCTGCTGACTACTCTTCTCAGACTTATTCCCAGCCGGTATTACAGCAGGTCAGTATCTGTATTTTAGGGGGAGTCTGCATTCCTGTGATGTCAGTTATTAACTCTTTACAGATGTATTATATGTCGCTATACAACCAATACTTTTTTCATCAAGAAGTTTGATCTTTGTCTGTTGCAGTAAAAACTGTTTAGCTGGAAATTGATGTTGCCCAAACCATAGAGAAAAGTGCTGTCCTGAAAGAGTTTAAGAATTAAAGGGTTATCAGTTTACCTGTTTCAGTTGAATTTTTAAGTTTGCAATGCTCTTATGGTTAGTAAACACAATACCTGTATGGGTTCCTGGGTCTTGTTGGGGAGGGATATGGGGAATAGACCCACTGCTCACTAAACAGCATATTATAAAAGGCTATTAATTAGTTTTGCCAAAATCAGATTTGTTGGACTGGAAAGTACAGATTATGCAGACTAGCCGTAAACCTCAACACAATGTGCAAACTGCCCTTTTAAGGGAAAAGGCAGAACTAGAAATGAACATCAGGCGGTGATGCTTTTATTGTGGTACTCCTACACTTCACAGTTGGACGGAGTCACAACTACGATGCAAAAGTTCAAGCCATCAAGATAGCAGCAATGAAACTACTAAATACAGAGGATATTTCACAACCAGTGATATTCCTGACAGTTGCAAAAGTGGCACTTCAGGTACCCCTGTCTGGGAAATTACCAGGTATATGGACACTACTCTCTGAACTAGGCAACCGGTGTAACATAGTTTTGAAATAGCCGTGTTCCATTGTCTAGTTCCCAGAAATGAAAATGCTGATAAACAAGCTCTAAAAAAGATGCAACTGAAGAACAACATAACCTGCCATTTTTTTACCAACAGAAGAAGAGAATAATAAAATCAAGCAGAAAGTCAACAAAACTTACACAAAATGATTACCATATTGTGGACAGATCAGGGCAAGTCATTCTACACCTTAGAAAAGGGTGCAATTGAATTTTGTACACATGTACAAAATTTAAAATTGGCAAGTCAACCGTGTGCAAATATGGACTGAGATAACAGATCACGTTTCCCAAGGCTGTTCCAAGTACATGTTTCCAGGCAAAACCTTTGCCCAAGAGAGACACTGGTGAAAGCCAGACTTTACGGGCTGCTAAGTGAATTGCAAAAGACAGTGAAGTTCATACTAGAGACAACATTGCATATACAGATAATTTATTTCAAGCAAATGAAAGAAGAAGAAGTTGTTGGACAGTCATAATTGATATGATTTTATCATTCATACAGCCCTAACTCTCTCTTTGACTTCCTGTTTTATTTTTATAAATTTGTTTAGAACATACAGCCAGAGGGTCTTTTCTCAGGGCAGAGTGTGACAGAAGTGCCCAGCACATTGAACACCCACACTGGCATTTTGGGGCAGTTACGAGAAGATAATGTCTCTTCGTATGAGATCCCCCCATCCATACCCATGCCTCCCTCACAGGTAAGCAACAAAAACTTTTTTTTTAAAGAGAATACTGAAAGGGTTGATCACATGCTGGGAGCAAATTTTAATGTAAAATTCTAGACAACTATGGGATAATTAGAAATAAAAGGGCTGGAGCCAGAAGAAGTGGACGAATTTGGGATTGAAACATGTGAGAATCAGTTACTGGACTTATCGTAGTGAGTGTCAGTTTCATCCCTGCCTGGAGAGAGTGGTACAGGGAGGAGTGACTAGGTGATTTGGTTGACACTGTACCCAGAGGAAAAGCAAGGTGGACATATAATCAAACTGCTTCTGGCACCATTGGAATTGGAACCCTTTGTTGGTTGCTGAAGATGAGACCTGAGTGCTTATGATGTCAGTTCTTAGCTCAGCGCTGGTTATTTTGGGGGGATATCTCTTCACGGTGGATTGGAAAAAATAATAGCAGAAGGCATGGTACCAGGAAGGAGCGGCAGGGGCCGACCATCACAAAGATGGGCTTAGGATGTAAGTGACTCCTTGAGTAATGAAAGTACATGAGGCAGGAGAGCTGGCGAGAGACCAAGTTTCTTTAAAGCAGACCGTGATGGGAGCGATGTTCTGCAAGGGACCTGCTACATGGTGATGTGGATCTTTTCAAGGTGCACTTGTACCAGCAGGTGTGAGAAAGAAGAAGGTAGCAATATAGTGGGCAAATCTTGGGGGAAAGTAGAATCACCAAACAGGTACTGAAATGGGAAACAAATGGATCAAGGACATGGCATCCTGGAGAAACCCCAAGATGAATGATGTTGAGCGAGGCTGAAAGTGCTGGACTAGGTTCCATCCATGATGTCAAAAGGATTGAACTACATATTGAGGGAAGAAAGAATAGACCCACTGGCATCCTAAAAAGCATTTGTAAAAGGCGACTAATAGAGTATCCTGAAATCAGAAGTGCTCGGAAGAGGGGTGCAGCTATTGCAGCCTGGAAGCCACTATACACCCTTTAAAAGCAAATGAAGAAAAAGAGTGTAGTGGAGGGCTAGATGCGAGTCCTATGTTACATATAACTGCACTGCAGAATGATGACCTCTTTAAGATCTTTGGTGGATATCCTTCCCAGGTTATGCATAAAAACCCAGGGTCCCCATGTAGGAGGGGGGATGGACCCACTGCCTCCCTAACAACAAGGTCATAAAAGTTGACCAATCAGGGTGTTTCCTTTGAAGTTGAAGTGCATCTGCCTGAGAGGTAGGGAACCAAGAGTCTGCATACAGATAAGCCAGATCTGTAAAAATGGATGTGCATGATTAACTCAATTTCTGGAATAAGACTAGTGCCCAGAAGTGGACAAACAACCAGAACTTGTCGCTACGTTTACAGTCGGTCAACTTGTAGAAAGGAATGGGGGTAGACTCACAACAAGTAAGTTATAAAAGGCAACTAATTTGCTGAAATTGAATGCATTAGGCCAAAAGGTGCATATATTGCAGCAGCCAAAAGATGCGTAAATTGCACCGGCCAAAAGATGCATATATTGCAGCAGCCAAAAGATGCATGTATTACAGCGGCCAAAAGATGCATGTATTACAGCGGCCAAAAGATGCATATATTGCAGCAGCCAAAAGATGCATATATTGCAGCTGCCAAAAGGCGCATATATTGCAGCGGCCAAAAGGTGCATATATTTGCAGCGTCCAAAAGATGCATATATTGCAGCGGCCAAAAGGTGCATATATTGCAGCGGCCAAAAGATGCATATATTGCAGCGGCCAAAAGATGCATATATTGCAGCGGCCAAAAGATGCATATATTGCAGCGGCCAAAAGATGCATATATTGCAGCGGCCAAAAGATGCATATATTGCAGCGGCCAAAAGATGCATATATTGAAGCGGCCAAAAGATGCATATATTGCAGCGGCCAAAAGATGCATATATTGCAGCATAGCTGCAAACCACGACACGACATGCCAGCCACCATTTTGAGAGCAATTGTGGAAGAAGAAGAACAAAGAATAGATTCTGTTAGAGTAACAGCTACATAGGACTGAAAAACTTAATTGCCAGACATGTATTCCAGCAGGAACAAACCATAGAACAGCAGCAGCAGCAAGTGCATGAAAAGAAATTTCAGATGAACGTCAGCGCCCCAGTATTCCAGTCCATGTTTGCTCAGGTACTGCTCTTCATTTTTAAAGCAGCTAACGATTTATCAGTAGTTGTAGTTAGCTGTTCCAGCTTTGTGGCAAATAGGTCACCCCCATAATCTTTCATTGTACTGTGCCAGTGAAAATCACACAGTGCTTATCGCTGTCTCTTGTGGAAAATTGAGACGGACTGCAGTCTTAAGCCAGTAGCATGTACACACAATGAATGCTTAAAGCAAACGTCAGAAATGCCGGCACATACAGTTCGCCAATAGAATTGCAGCTCATTGTTGATGGAAGCACTGGTTACAACTAATCGACAGTTGCGTGTGCAGTATTGTATATAGTATCACCAGCTCTTGTGGCAACAGGCCATCCACCATTTCTGACAACACAAAATACCCAGAGCACAGCAAAAAAAAAATTTTTTTTTATATAAACCCCATTCTAAATAAAAATCCACAGCTCACATATTTAGCTCAGTATCTTGGTGCTAGAATTGATAAATAGCATAAGCCAATTATTTCAGTTTGTGTGTATCAAGATGATTGAAGAGGAACTAATAAATGGGTCTTTCCTTTATTTTTATAACTAGGTTATATTAAACTAGAATGTCCTTGCACTGAAACCCACAGGAATAAAAGCTGTAACAGTAAAATACACGGAAAAGGAAATTACAGAGTAAAATGGGAAAAGAAAAAGATGGGAAGCAGGAACTACAAGCAGTTGCATAAGACTGGACATGATGTCAACATGAGGTAGTTGAGGCCTGTTCTGCATTGGGAATTAAAGGGGGTTGGGGGGGGGGGGGAAGAAGAAGCTGCTGCTGCTTATAAGACTATAAATTAAAAGTACAGACACTTTCTAATGCTGTTCAAGCCTCAGGTAGATGGTACTAGACCTCTTTTTCAAGACCAGTTGGCACGTGATAGATTGCCAACTGCCTTTACTTAACGGCCTGAGGCACAAGTCAGTTACCAGACACCAAGTTAAGACTAAAAAGGACCCTTTTCCACGCCTTCAGGTGTATTGGGCAAAAAGACTAGATCTAAATATTATAGACCAATCAGCATTCGGTGTGAGTTAAGTGGTCAACATCCTGTTGGCCGGCTTTACTTCCCAGGACTGTACCTGGTACCCATTTAAGACTGGGTTGACCTGAAAGTTTAGATTGCTAAGGATTAATTGAAAAATCTCTGAGAAGTGAGCCTGAACATTTTCTTCTTGTTACAATGACCACAGTCACAGGCACCAGTCACCTCAATCCAGCCGTCCTCATTAGCACCACTGGCCGACTCACAGCCACCTCCTGCAGCAGACTTCTCGGGCACACCATCACCAAGCGGAGACTATGGGCAGACCAACACCGGCGACTTCCAGCAGTCTTATCACTGTACGTCGGTCTTAGAATACAGTGCAGGTTTCACTTTTACAGTACTTTCCAGTCTTCTTCTTCTTTTGTCCTACTTCTTTTTCTGTAAAGCTTTGGTGAGAGGAGTTACTTGCATTTTTTTTGTCTTTTTCTAGTTGCTTAGCTTGTGTTAATGTAATGGTAATGTCATGTTGTCGACATCTGTGGCTGAGACGTTGCGAACGCGCTTCGTAGTGCCGGGGTGCGGGGTTTGATCGCTGCTGTAGACGGTTTGTCTTGCGATGGTTTCGACTCGTGGTACCGAGAGCTGGCCGTCCAGAAAGCAATGGCAAACTACTGGAAGTAAATTTGCCTAGAAAAACCACAACAGCCAGAAAGTGCTGGGGTTGGTTCTGCAACGTCCCGTAGAGAATACTTAACTAATTATTAAAAATTAAAAATTTCATGTTGGGTTTCTGCTATAGTGTCTTTACAACTGTCCCTCCACACATATCTTTCTTGGTAAGCCTCTTGACTTGTAGCCTGCTGTTCTCATGTAATACACTCTAGCTCAGCAGTTTTCAACCCGTTTTGGGGATCGAACTACCCTGTCACAGGTGTCGCATAAGACCCTCAGAAATCGCATATTCTCTGAATTTATGTAGTAGCAAGGAAAATAATTATATGGTTGTGGGTCGCTACAACATGAGGAACTGTATTAAAGGGTCGCAGCATTAGGAAGGTTGAGAACCACTGCTCTAGGTGCTGGCTGATTTGGTTCCATTTGCATGACTAAACCATTTGATTCTTTGATGTTCAATGAAATCACTTACTGTTACTGTGCCTACCATTGCTAAGTTCTTCGTTGGTGCTTTTTAGTATTCCATATGAATTGTTTGTGGCATAGGTTACAGATCTGAATAGACAGTTCTTTGACAAATTCAGTAAATATGATACTGATCTTCAATAGACAGTTCTTCCCCAAAGTGGGTTCTGGCATTCTGAATAGTCAGTTCTTTGACAAATTCAGTAAATATGTTACTGATCTGAATAGACAGTTCTCCCCCAAAGTGGGTTCTGGCATACTGAAACGTCAGTTCTTTGACAAATTCAGTAAATATGTTACTGATCTTCAATAGACAGTTCTCCCCCAAAGTGGGTTCTGGCATCCCATTGTGGGGTAAGAACAATAGACCCAGTGCCCATAACAGGCATGTCCTCATCTAACCCCCTCCCCCAAAATGGAGAGGTTACAGATAAGAAATAGATCACTTATTGGAATGCTAGAGAGTATATGTAGTTTTTGGTAAGGTATATATTTGTTCAGATGCTTCTGTAAATATTCAAAATAGCTAGGTTCGGGATCTAAATAAAAAGTTCTTTAGAATATTTCAGGCATATGGGCTAGAATCATATTTTGTATGGGTCAGTTGGCACTCACTGGGTAGGTGATGTGGTCGACATCACACCTACTGTCTTTACTTCCCTGGAACATTTTTTATGCTTGAGAGATCATAGAGTCCTGGTCATTTTATTTAAAACGAAAAAAATTCAGCCCCAGTGCTGATTTGAAGCTAACACCTTTCTGGCCACCAAGCAAGCATTTAGCCATTGCTGCTGTGGTTCCCTAATAAATCCTTTAGACCAGTGATTCCTAAACTTCGCCCCGGGGAGCTGCGACCTCTTCACAGATAGATGAGTTTTTAAAATCTATCTTTTACATACGTATAAGTCATACTTTTACTGAGGTTAGGGGGCCATGGAAAAATTGTAATTGAACAAAGGTGCCGTGACTTAGACAAGTTTTAAACACTGCTTAAGATTGCTTGTATTGAGATACCTGCATTCCATACCCAGGGATTTTTAAATTAGATGTTTAGTCATGAATAATCTGCCTTATATTTACGAGGTTAACATTTTGCTTGGTTGTCCTTTTTGCCATTGCGTTACTTTTGTTTTCCAAATCTTTAGCAAACAATGGGTTTTCTGGTGGACCATACCCAAGAGGTGGCCGTGGTGGATTCCGAGGAGGCCGTGGTGGGAACGGGGGAAATGGAGGAAGCAGAAATGTTGCCCCTGCTGGAAGCCCGCTGCAGAATGGATTCAGCGGCCGAGGTGGGACAAGCACCAACGCAAACACTAGCCGCGGAGGCCGGGGTAAGTCTGCCGGCTGAGTTAACAGGATTAACAATAGAAAAAAAAAGCCAGTGTATTTAGCATAATCTGCCGTGTTTTTCCAGGGGGGGGGGGGGGGGGGGGTCTGGGATAAATGTAGGATGTGCCCAATATCATTTACAGAAACCCACAGCTTAACAATCCAATCCCGTTTATTTTTTCGATTAGTTTATAATAAACTTTTCAGTATGACTAATTAAAAAAAAGTATGGGTCCCTGGTAGAACTTTGAAAATAAGAGATATCCGCAGGCTTTAGCTAACAGAGAACCACTGATCTCTGGCGATAAACTTTAGTTTAATTATTTGGAGATTTTTGGTTGATGCTGTAAGGATTTGGTCGCAGGACTGTCTTCTTTCACTTGGTAACTTCTAGGTATTTTGCTTTGTAATTTCTCTGCTTGTTTGTTTTGGAGACCGGTCAGGGTGGGTACCTCCTGCATAAATCATCTTCTCACACACATCTGGCATATTTTAGACCTCAACTAAAGAAGGCTGTTTCTTCCATTATCTACTGTCTTCATTGCCACAGCAACCCAGTCCAGCCCGGCAGCGAAACTTCACTAGATACTTTTATGTCTGCAGTTTTTTTTACCATGTCTGTTCATTTGTATAAGATTTGACTATAGGTTCATGGGGAATTCAGAGGTTTGTTCTTCCCCAGTCATAGAGATGGTGATCTTTGCTGTTCCCATGATTTTGTGTTGTAGATACTTTTCGTACTTTTCTGGTAGAGCTTTTACTTTCTTCCTTTGTAAAGAACTTTGGTTTTGAAGATGGCGATGACTGGCTGTGTTAGTGTTTGCTGTTTGTGGTTGTTTTTTTCCCTTTAGGATAATTATGTTCCTATTGTTGTGGACTGCTTTTCTCTGCATGTTTCAAACGCAGGACACAAGTTATTTTTATTCTGTTGCATGTATTATGTTGTGCCATGTCGGAGTGGGATGACAGCTGACAGAAGCCGCAAGCCATGACCGGCAACGACTGCTTGCGATATTTTTATTGCAACATTCCGTGAACGAACAAATTCTATTTTTCAAGGGGCCTGAATTGGGCAAGCAGGCCCATCTTACTTTCAGCCCTTCCACTCATCCTTTACACATCAGCTGTATTTTTATGATGATGTTTTGCTCATATAGCACAGTACATAATAATAGTGTAGGGTAAAAAAAAAAAACATTGGAAAAGAATGAAAGGCAAATACATGCATTCCAATATACAAACATCTGGGTAGACTGGGAGGTTCTTTCCAATATATGAAAGACTGTTTGTAAGGCGGAAAAATTATGTGGGATGAGTGTGTCCACAAACAGTGGGTATTTGATTGTATCTGTCCCAAAACAGGCGAATGCTTTACTTTCTGCGTTCAGTGATTGGCCTTTTTTGGGGCCAGCCTTACATTACAGTACAACAGTTGACAATTTCTCCCCAATTGCACAATTTTTTTTTCAAAGGGTCAGCTGCCAGCAACATGAAGTGTTCTAGATTCCACGATGTGAGCGCTTTGGATAAAATGTCAGATTTCACAACAGCCTAAAATAGGGGAAACAGCTGATTAAAACAGATGATCCGATTAAAATATTTTGTTCAATCCTCGTATTCTAAACTAAATTATCGCCAATAGGTTTGTCACTTGCATATGAGTCATATTATCAAGAATATTGTTACCATGTGGCAAATATTCATTAACGACAAAACAGTATGAACCGTTCTAGACCTTTTCCCTTAACATTTGGTATAGAAAAAAAAAATGGTATCACAACTAAATAATTTTGTTAAAATCAGAAAGTGATGCAAAGGCCACTCTGAACATCACAAACGAAAGGACTTTTGCTAATCATAGTTTTTCAAAACATGTTCATAAAAATTCGTGTTCCCCCGCAAATGGAATCAAATTAGAGTGTCTCTATCATTTGCCATTATCTTCTTCTGCGTTCATCTTAAGATGTAATTGCGTTGTGTCTGTTTACAGCATGGCTGCGATATTTGCACCTTTTGGCCAACTCATCCGACTTCTGCGGGCATTGGTTGACCGGGTTAGCCTTCCCGGTTGATTGTTTCGCCAGTATACTGGTCAATAGTCCAATCGGGATAAATTAAGCCAGTTAACTGGCGAATAGTCCTTAAAGAGTCAATTAAACTTAAAAAATATGTTGAAAACTTTATATCTTTATTTACTGGAGATTGTAAATAAAATCTTTGGCGCTGTTCTATTTTTTAAAGTTTCTATCACATCATTACGTAGCAGTACCTTCGTAGAATGTTGCCGTTTTTATAGCACTCTGCAGAGCCGCCGGGTCCCTTGCCAACTTAGCCACATTGTAAACTTTCATGTTTAGTCTTTCCTTTTTACAGCCTCAGAAGGATAAGAGTATCAACTTTTTTTAAGAGTATCAATGTTTTTAATGTGGATTGTGAGGCAGAGACATCCACTCCTGCATTGGACTTCACAGTCATAGTAGATGCTGTTTCCCAAACCGGTGGCACAGCACCGTTGTCCTTAGGGACTGACGGTTGCCTACAGTTATCCTGTGTCTGGTGTCTACCTGCCCGAAGTCCTTGGGTTTAAATCCACATTGTAGTAGATTTTCTTTTTCTAATTGCCTTTTGGGTCCCAGTTCGATCCCGCCTAAAATTTGTACCAGGAAATCTCCTGGGAAGTAAATATGGCCATCACGACATTGAGCACATTGCCTATCAAGTGCTGTTTGGTCTATAAAAAATATTGTTCTGGCACCATATGCTTCATATGCCACTGTAGTGAAAAAGTCTAAATGTTTCTTGTTGCCATCTGACTGCTGGACTCATTACTTTTCTTGCGAAATGAGATGCTTACATAAGGCTGCCAATATCACAAGGAGAGACAGAGTTCGAAACGAGAACATTAGATCAATTGTAGGAACCACACCATGCCTGCAATACATAAAGAAGCAACAAATAGAGTGGTTTGGCCACTTGATGCGAATGCAAACCGACCAACTGCCTCTACGAGCATACAACGAACAGCACTACTGCCCTAGAGCAAGAGGCAGACCGAGAGTACAATGGATAGACAATATATCAGAGATCCCGAGGCAACACGGACTAACAACAACACGTGCAACACACCTGGCCCAGGATAGAAAACTGCGACTCCCCACTACGCTGTGAGGCAATTGTGGACAAGACAAGACCGTACTCCCAGTTACCCCTCTCTCTTTGAATTAAGCAAAGGTTTTGATGTCTTTGTTATTGTGTGTAAGTTTGCATCAGGCTAACCTGGGTAACGAATGCCTGAAGAAATCTCATATGTTAACGTAGCTAGCATAGCTGCCGCAGCCGTGATATAAATGGACACAGCACAGGTAACATCCTCTGATGAATAAAGCCTGTCATTAAATTGTGCCAGTGCTAGTTCTAGGCCAGGGCTATTCAACTGGGGGCCCGCGGGCCAAATCTGGCCCGCCGAGGCCTAGCAAGTGGCTCACGGATCACTGCTAGTTGTATTGCATTTATGGTCTTTCTATGCTGGGGCTGGTTCTTCTGACCCGTGACGATTCTCATTTGTGAACATTTTGGCCCCTGAGACAACTTGGTGGAATAGCCCTGCTCTAGGCCCTCGCTGACTGACTGGCAGAGCCTTGATATCTGGCATGAGTTCAAGATATAAATAACCGACACTACAGAAGTAGTATATTTTGCAGGCCACAGTTACAACCTGGCCTCATCCACCCATCCATCCATTTTACTACATAAATTTTTCGAAATAGGATGGGTGAACTGCCAGCCAGTTAGTTACATAAACACATCTAAACTTAAGCATTCCTCCTGTGTTAAAGACGCAGATAGATGATTACGGTCTGAGGAAAAGGGCGAGGAGTTACCAGGGGATCTGGCCGCCGCTCAACACTCGGAGGAAGGATGAGACTGATATACCATCAGACAGTTACTGGTGCCATCAGAATCGGAACTCTCCGCTTGCTGCTGAAGATGGTGACGGAGCACTTATGGGAGTGTCCTGAGTGCTGTGATATCGATTCTTAATTCAGCACTCAACATTCAACAGGAGCTGGCGATGCCATGAGAAGTTCATATCGCAAAGATAATTAGGACATTGAACCAGGCTAGAGGAATGAGGGGTGCAGCATGTAGCTGCACATAAGTCAAGAAAGAACATTTTACTTAGGGCACAGAGCATTTGATTTAATCAACACAGAACAAGTATAGTCAGTCATGTTGCTACACCTGTGGAGCTTTTTAAGAAGAGAGAACACCTATGGATCTGTCCAGAGTGTTATGTCGTCACTAATCTCTAAATCTGTTGAGGCAAGGAGAGAAAACTAAATAAACGCAGACAGCTGAACAGACACAAATTGTTTGATAGATTATATCACAGGTGACTTTTTTAAAAGTCTTCTTCTTCTTCTTCTTCTTTTTCTTTGTGTTGACTGGCTCTAAACTCTGGTGAAAAGTTCTGGTAAACTCCTAAACTTTAGACTGGGTCCAGAACTTGTGTGCAGACACCAGGCAGATGCGCTGAGAAGGAAACTCCCTATTTAATTGCTTTTACTACATGCTTGTTAATGGGACAATGGTTCTATTCTTTGTTTTCCAAGATGGAGCCCGGAACGACGTGATGCTGGTGCATGAGGGAGTGAATTGAATCCAGAATTGACATTGCTGGAATTGGGGCTTTTCTGCACATGCTTTATACTCTGGCCAAGTAGCCCACTAAGTTCCCAGAAGTGTCGGAGGGAGATGTAATGTTCGTTGATGAGCTCTGTCAAGAGCACTATTAAGACTGATGTTCATTTCTGTAAGGCTGTTTTTAATGCCATCACTCCATATTTTCCGAGGTCTTCTACTCGCTCTCTACCCGTTGTAACGTTTTAGTGGGGCTCACTGTGCTGGATAGTACCAGGGCATTCTTGTTAGGTGTCCAAACCACTTCATTTGTTGTTCTTTGATGTTCCCAGACTGTTGGTGCCAATTGCTTACCTGGCCAAAAGTCTGCCTCTCCTTTCCTCTGTACATTGAAAACCACTCAATTAGTCTTTGGAGGTATGGATACCCTGTCCATTCTGTTACACTGTTCACTTGATCCAAAGAGCTTTCACTACATCCACTTTATCATGAAATAGCTTATTATACAGAGGAGTGGCTGCAGCCTGCTACATAAAGGGATGGACATAAAATAAACACAGAATTACAGCAACCGAGAGATATTCAATGGGAAAATTTTGGAATGCAACTTTGAGGGAAAGCACTTTTGAAATTCTCAACAGAACCTTGATGTTACCTCGGTGAAACCCCCCACACAGTGAAAGTTACATAAAAAGCTTCTAGCCATATGTGTATTTCAACTAATGAAACAAACCAACAAATACACTCTTTCAGGGGGAACGTACCCACCTTATCCTCCCAACAACTACAGGCCTGACAGTTTCCAAGGAAACTTCAATCCCAGTGGATTAGCTGGTGGTGTATTTCAGAAACGAGGTGGCATGAGCAATGTTAGCAACCCCGGAACTACCGGTTATGTTCATGGTGCTACGGGAGGAAATGGTACCCGTGGCGGTAAGTGATTTTTTGTTTCTCGTGGAAGGGTAGCATTTTTTCTCTCCTTAAAATACGCTGACGACTCAGCGAGAGACTATATCAAAAGAGTGGTGAGGTAAACGCAGAGATGGATTTGATATAAAACTCGCTAGCCCTAATTTTTTTTTAAATTGTCTTAAGTGTGCCCATCGCTATCTTTGGAATGTTATACGGCGATGCCCAGTATGCCCCAATCTTTTCCACAGTGTGACTCTTGCACTATTGTCCGAAAACCGCAAGAGCATTTTTTTTTTTAACCGCCTGCTGCAGAAAACGAACCTCAGTAATTTCGAATCTTGAAATTGTTCAATGCATTTCTAACCTCAACCTGGATAACCAATGTCAGAAACAGTTATCAGGCACCCCTGTGTGAGTTCCGGGGGCCCCAATGTGGGAAAAAACAAGAACAGAGCCACAGCCTCCGTAATAAGCACGTTGTAGGAGTCGGATTGCATCTGCTCGGCTGGTAAAGAACCACCAACTGCACAAAAATAAGCCAGCAAAATGGATGTACAGGCAAAACTCAGGCCCTGGCACAAAGCCAAAGTCCAAATGGATGAACAACCAGGACTTTCCAGCTTACAGCTGGTGAACAAAGAAGAAGTTATTGTGCTAAAGAAGAAAATATTTTACTTATACTCACTTTATGGCAGCCACCACTGGCAAATATCTGGATAACTTCAGCTGTGAAATCAATCTGAAGCATGTGCCTATGATACAGCAGCAAATAATAAAAATCCTGAAAACATCCATCTTTCCTGCGGCAGTGAAATCAATCTGAAGCATGTGCCTATGATACAGCAGCAAATAATAAAAATCCTGAAAACATCCATCTTTCCTGCGGCAGCATAAGAACTATTTTGCAAATGCAGTTTGGTGCTTTTCAACTTTACAGCAAGATTTTTTTTAGAGTATCCTAGACCAAGAAAAAGAAAATTGCCAACATTCTCAGGGATCTGAACATTGAATGGGTGGGCTCATAGACAGCATCATTTCTTGGAAATTGTCAAATATTTCATCTTGATTGAACATTATAATGGTCTGGAAAGAAGAGTAATGGAGAGTATGGCTCTAGGAAGAAGACCCAGGGGTCGACCCGCTCAGTGGTGGACACAAGATATCGGCACACCTTGGATATTAAAGTTTATAATAAGCAGAAAAGTTGGCCTAAAGACGCAACACAATGAAATTGATATTCTGCAAAAGATCTGCTACATGATCATGTAACAGAAATATGGTTAGTTGCGTATCCTTTACAGGACGTTGCAGAACCAAGCCAAACAGCCCCTGGCTGTTGTGTGGTTCCTCTAGGCAAATTTACATCCAGTAGTTTGCCATTGCTTTCTGGACGGTCGGCTTTCTTGATGCCACCGTCGAAACCAACGCAAGGCGCATGGCCCGCAGCTGGGATTGATCCCGGCATTACGAAGCATTCGCATCGGCTTAGCCACAGAGCCGACAACAGAAATATGGCCTGAATATAAAGCACAGGAAGAAACATGTAGATGTGTCTAAAAGTATTCCTCTCAGCAGTGAGCATTCATACGTGTGACTGGCTGTTCAAGGGTCAAGGAAATACAAGTCGAAGGCCAAGTCACGAAGTAAGAACAACGCTTCCACACAGGACATAGTGAGGGTGGCGGACAAACGAAAGTAACACACAGTAGAAATTATGAAGCAATAAGCAATACCAACTGTGAAAACAAGCAACACATCACACACCTAGAATATATGAGTTGTAGTGTTTTATGGTTGGTGTTAAATGAACAGCGAATAAGACTAACCCTGACCCTAACACCTCCTAGGCTGTGGGACTGTTTCAGGGAATTCCCACAAAATCATGCACTGAATGAGATGGTGGGTGAAAAAGCTGAATGGTACCTATGGTTTTACTAGATAATTTTGCATTTAGTAGTTTGCCATTGCTTACTGAAAAGTCTATGCTGTTATCATTATCAAACTTAGCACAAAGCAGTCTGCTGTGAAATGGCCTGTATATGAATGGAACCTGGTGTGGCAGGATTATGAAACTTCATAACCTTCAAATCACGATGGTGGATTAGGACTTAGGAAAGAAAAAAAAAAACTTAATAAATTTATGAGTAAAGTTGGCAGTGTGCTTTGATTAGTGCACACTAGTGTCTACCAGTCAAATTCCACATTGTAATTTACACTGAGTTTCTTACCCCAGTGTGGTCAGCTATTTGCTTTGCCCTCTGAAGGTCATTGGTTCATTTTGCAGACTACAACACTCAGTTTGAGTGCATTTTTTTTAGAGAGATCAATTGAAATCCCAGCTGGACCTAGAGTTCATGCTGCGTATGACGCTCTCAGCTGGTGGTTATCCATTCCGTGGAGAGAGAATGAGAAATTTCGGATAAATTCTAGTGTAGTGCAGTTATCCCTGGTCGTATTTAACATTAACTTTATCTTAACTGACAATAAGGCAGAAAAACTAAGCGAAGGGATCTCATCATCACCGAGTGCCTTGCCAACTGTCATTAGCGATCATACGTCTCCTTCTGTCATCACTGAACTGTTTTGATACCGGGGACACTCTAGTGTGCTTTGACAAAAGACCACCAGGAATCTTCTCTTATTTTCCTGTTCTATCTTTCGGCTGTCCTCTGAATAACGGTCCCAAATTATCGAAAATATACCCTAACAGGGTCTCAGTCACATGTAAATTGCAGACTTCCGCAGACTATGCCACCACCGCCGAGAGTATCTGCTGCTACGCGCGGAGCGAGGCTGGGACCCACGAGCAGTAGCTTCCGCATCTCCTGCAGCTTTGCTCGTGAGTCCCAGCCATATACTTTAGCCCCGCTACTCGCGGCGCAGAAGTGGCAGTATAGTCCCGGAAGTGCGCAATTTACATGTGACTGAGGCCCTGTAAGGGTATTTTTTCAGCCTCGATAATTTGGGACCTTTATTTGGAGGAAAGCCGATCTTTCTGTCAAAAATCTATCTAATTGTCTTCTCATAATGTCGCTGGAAAGTAATATTTTCTGATATTTATGGTAAGTTGACTTTTGTCTCATTCAAAATAAATCAGTTTGACTTTCAAAGTATTTTTTTTTTAGCATTCTTCTGTTGAACTTTTCTGAGGAGGATTATTTGTTTACTTGTTGTCCTGAAATGACAGCCTATGTTTCAACTGAGCTCTGTATGTAACATGTAGCATTTTTTCTTACCTCCAGTGATGGGTATTTATTGCATAAGCTGTTCATTTTTTTTATAGAACACAGTTTTTGCTTGTATTGTTTATGTGTGTGATAATTTTCTATCCTTGCTAACCATGTGCCTGGATATTTGAATTTAAAACCTTAAATTATCTTCTTCATGCTCACCGGATGTAAACTTAAGCAGAAACTTCTCTTATAGTACGAGACGCAGTGTACTTTTAAAGTCTGGCTGTCGTCGGGGGCCCTAAATGTAACCTACTGGCTGAACAGGGTTTTTGAGACTTGCCAGACAGGGAAGAACACTTTTTGTAAAAGGAAAAGAGTAAGCCTTGTTTTGTACTAACTTATATACCTTTGTTTCTCTTGTCCTCAGCAGGAATACGTGGAGGAGTTGCTCGTGGAGGAGCAGGAGGAGGAGGCGGCAGTGGACCTCGCGGTGCTCCTAGAGGAGGTTACAACCGACCAATGCCTGCCTAAAACCACAAGGAACCAGTGATTTCGACAGCCCAGCAGTAATCGATGATCTCTTGTTGACCGTTTCAGCGTGATCACTTTGTGCACACTGCCTTGCCTCTACAGAGAATCAAAGATTAGCCCAGTATTTCAGATTGCTGTCAGAGAAATATGCTTGGCTTGGCTGTTGTTTTGTTTTTGTGTTTCTTTTGATAGTGTTTAATCTGGAGGCCAGACAGTGTAACTCCTGCGTAGAGCATCTACTCACATACATCAGAAATGTTTTTAGACCTCAACCAAGGTACTTTCTTCCATTATCAACAGTCATTATTGTCACACCAACCAGCCAAGCCTAGCTGTGAAACTTCATCAGAGGCTGTTCTGTGTACTTGTTAACACCTTGTTTGTCTGTTCATAGGTAAAAGGATTGTAAGGAAATCAATTGACTTTATTGGTAATATTTATTTATTGCAGATGTTAGTCAGCTCTATGAACCCTAACCATAACATGCCATTTTTACCTGAGCTTTTGAACAAACCCCCCACCCCCCTCCCCCACCATACACAGAAAGCATGTTGCTATATTTCTTTACATTTCCTAACACGCATGCATGAGGACAATAACAGTGCGTGCACGCCCACCCCCACTGCCAGTTGTTTAAGACAATATAACGGCCATACTGGGTATGGGTTCAAATGGCAAAGGTTTTTTTTTTTTTTTTTATATTCCATCGTCAGTATTAAAAAATAGAATGTTTCGTAACTTTGCCTGCGAGCTGAATCTACAATAATCTTAAATATTAGAGTAAGATTTGTTTTATAGCCTTGTCTCCTTTCTGGAGTATTATATAGCAGAATGTTTCAGCCTTGTCTGGGAGGTCACACTTAACTTCTATTTTGTTATCGAAGCATACATTTCTACTCTGTTGTCTTGATTGTCTGTGTCAGCGATAACTGTTATCCGCAGTCATTGCTGAAATATTGTTTCACATAACCTCAGATAATGGTACTGCCAACCAGTCATCAAGGAGAATGTATGTAGCCTAGTTCAATCTATAAGTCGGAGCATACATTTTTTACTCTGTTGCTTTGATTGTCTGTGCCATGACTGTTATTGTTTCACATAACCTCAGATAATGGTACGGCACACCCAGGCTGGGTGGATTTCATTCACAAGGTTTGAAGTACTGGAGGTCTATAAAGATTTCTCGCACATTATCCAAGGGAGATCATGTTACCATCGTGGTCCATGCACTACCACAGGCAGTGTGTGATGTAGATGCCAGAATTTATTTGTGTAAGAATCAACGACAAACAAACGTTCATAGTTCCTATGTGGATT